GTCAAAATCGGTCCAGCCGTTTCAAAGATTAGCCGGAACAAAGAGACAGACATACAACAATTTTTAAAATTGTGTTTTTGTTATAAGTACCGTATATACTTTCATATGCATTAAGTAAAAACTGTTATTTATACATAACAAACAGACACTTCAATTTTATTTATTTGTATTGTATAGATTGTATACCTATAAATATAATTGATGGGTCTATCAGTAATATTAAACTGCCTTCGAATAACCTGAGAGAGTTATTTGCATGCTACTAGGTCATAAATAGCCACGTTTAAAATGTTGTCTTTCTGTCTATGTGTCTGTCTGTCCGGGATAAAATTTGGAAAAGCTGAACCGATTGGCATAAATCTTTACGAACAGATAAATATCTATGCCAGCAGAGATCTAAGACATAATTTAACTGAAAAACGTGAATTTTTTATCATATAAATTAGTTTAATATCCCGGCGTAGCCGAGGCGGGGCTCTAGTATAATAATAAAGAACCTAACTGTACAAATTTGTCTTTTTGTATTAATTTTATATATAATAATACTCTGCAGTAGTTTATAGCTACATACATATACATACCTTCATAAACACTCACGCCTGTCACCCAGAGGGGTAGGCAGAGACTACGGACTTCCATTTGGCGCGATCCTGACACACCTCTCTCGCCTCCATTACATCCATATATTCTCGCATACACGCTCGTCGGTTAAGGGTACTCCTAATCTGGCCTATTTTTAATGCATCGCCGATTTGGTCAACAAACCATCTTCTAGGGCGTCCCTTCCCGACCCTGCCGTTCACTTCTGCAACATAAATTTGTTTTGTCACTCTTTCCTCGTTCATTCTTTCTACATGACCAAACCACCGAAGCATTCCTTTCTTAATCCTTGTCACAACGTAATTTTGCAAACCACACTTTTCTCTTATCACACTATTTCTCACCATGTCATTCAGATTCAGCCCTAGCATACTCCTTAAGGACCGCATTTCTACAGCATTTATTCTACTCTCATGCTTCTTCTGCCAGACCCAACTTTCACTACCATACATTAAAGTAGGGACTAACACAGCATTATGAATTGCCATACGTGCCTTATTTGACACATTCTAACTCCTCATAATAGCGTGTAAAGCCCCATTCACTTTATTTCCTGCGTTCACTCGTCGTTCTATATCCTTATCACATCTAGCATCCCTGCTAAATAGACATCCCAAATATACAAACTCATCCACTTGCTCAATCAACTCCCCTTTTATTCTTATTTCACATAAAGTTTTACTTTCTTCTCTTTAAAAAAACATCACTTTCGTCTTACTTGCGTTCACTTTCATACCCCTTTCTTTTTTTTTCTTCTTTTTTTTTTATATGATAAGGCTGACAAACGAGCACACAGTCCATCTGATGGTAAGTGGTTGCTGTCGCCCATAGACGCCTACATCTATCTTCGATTAAGAATCAAAATGCAGATGCGTTGTCACCCGTGAGGACTAAGATGGAATGCATCGTTTCCAGTAAAAAGGGTCTCCGGTTCTCTACACTCACCATACGAAACACAGCAGTGTTAAGCTGCTATTTTACGCTGGTATTCTGTGAGAGCGTGGTACTTCCCCGGTCGAGCCGACCCATTCTTGCTACAACCATAATATAGCAGCAGCATGGCTCTACCACGTATGAAATTTATATTTTTTTATTATTCATTATATTATATTAATATTCATTGGTCATTGAAAATTCTTTCAATGACCAATTCATTAAAGTAACTATCATTTGCAACTCGGCCGCCGACGATGCAAATATGACTTGATCATCGGCGTACAAAAGGCATTTGACGGTTGACTCACCCATTCTCAATCCACATTCTTCAGCTTTCAAAGTTTGCAAACAACGGTCCATAAATAGGTTAAAGAGCCACGGGGAAGCCACACATCCCTGTCTGACACCTTTATGAATGCCAAACCAGTCCGAGCAGACCCCGTTGATCGTGACACAAGCACTAGAGTCCCTATAAAGAGACCTTAATGCCTGTATCAAGCCAGCGCTCAACCCAAATGAGTTCAGTGTTTGCCATAACACATTCCTGTCCACTCTGTCATAAGCCTTTTCCAAGTCCATGAACGCACAAAAAACTTTCTGGTTTTTGGCCAAAAACTTCTCCGCTATCATGCGCATGGAAAAGACTTGATCCGTACACCGCATCCCCTTTCTAAATCCAGCTTGCACATTCCAAATTTTTACAGTTTACCCACAATGCTAAGCAAGCTGATACCACGTTAGTTTTTACAGTCCTGCTGCGAGGCCTTTCCCTTATATATTGTGATATAACGGCTTTGTACCAGTCTTCCGGTACCCGCTTCAGTTCCCAACATAAATTAAACAAGGTGCACAGTAGGCCTGCAAACACACCCTCTCCAAACTTTAGCATTTCGGGTGATATTCTATCATATCCGGCTGCCTTACCTGCTTTCATGCTTTTCATTGCTTTCATTATTTCATCTACACTTATCTCCCTACCTATCTCTCTCCACTTCTTCCGGAATTTCTATTTAACTTACTTCAGACGACTCTTCGCACTTAAACACGCTTCAAAAGTATTCCTTCCATCTCTTTAAATTCGAAACCTCATCATTCAGCATTCAGCCATTCTCGTCTCGTATAGCATTCATTCTAGGCTGTTTTGAATTTCCCCTGGCAGTTCTTACGAGCTTCCAGAACATTTTAATGTTTGCCTGGAAGTTTATAGCTAGTATGTTGAAATAAGATGTTTCTTAATACAAGATTAAGGCACACTTTATACGTTCAATGTAAATATTGTTTGTTTTTGAAACTGTTACATTACCCTTCGTTCTACAGTAAACATGTCAAATAATTTTAGTGACATATATTTCTATTAAGATATGATTAAATAAGTCACGGTCTGTTATTATATAAATAAGAGTGAATAATTCAATGCTTACTTAAAGTCCATTTGAATTTAAATAAAAAAAATATCTATTTTTATGCTTGTTTGTCACCCATATTCTCCAAAAATATAATCATTTCTAATATTTATAACATAGAATAAGTACTATTGATAGAGTTCTTGTAATATATTAGATAGAATACTCTAATAATAACACCAATTTAAAGCGTCTTTAGGACTTTCCACTTTAACAGCTTCATAATACCAAAGATTACATAAAATAGTGCACAAGTGTGACAAGCTTTATGAAAATATATGGAGTATATAACAAACTTTTATATTTCCTAACTGTTCACACATCTTCTTATATTCCTTAACTGTTCATAAGTCTACTCTGGCGTTTTCAGAGTATATGAGATTGTTGAAACAAAGAGTATTCCGCTTGCCAACTCTCGCATCGGCACCAATGAACATTTTAGATGCTAATTTAAGCGCTGATTTCCCACATGCTCCGAGGTAAATAAAAAACATTCTGATGAAGCTACATATCTGAGAAATTAAACAAAACTTGGAAGATATGTTATACAGAACATTTTCAGCTACTTCGCGGTTAAAACTCATAATAATAAACTAACTGACTGCAAATGCCAACCCATTTATACGTTGTAGAGCGATGCTCTGTTTCGTATGGTGAGTGTTGATAACCGGAGACCCTTTTTACTGGAAAAGATGCATTATATCTTAGTCCTTATGGTTGAAAACGCATCTGCCTTTTGATTCTTTATTGAGCATAGCTGTTTGTAGCTGTCTATGAGTCACAGCAACCATTTACCATCAGGTGGACTGTGTGCTCGTTTGTTACCCTATCCTACAAGAAAACTGCCGAGCGTGGCAACTTTGGCTAATACGCCTACATATATTATATAATGATGATAATGATGATGTAGTAACATAATATGATTTATATTTTAGTAAATGTTACAGCCTTTGCCAGAGTGGTTGTGGAGCGAATAGACCGACGCACTGCAGTTACGTGAAGTCCGCCGGGATTTTAGGTAATCTAAAATTATTTAATTTCTCAGATTGCAAGTTCCCTCGGGATGTTTTCCTTCACCGCTGAACACGTGGTAAATAACAACTTAAAATTGCAATTAATAATCTCATTGGTATTGGCGGAGATCGAACCCGGATTGCTTGCGTATTGCCCCTGATCTCTATGAATCTCTATTTATACAAATAATGTTTAATAAATTTTCGATCTTTGTACCATCAAACAGCTGTCAAGCTCCCTTCTTTTTCACAAACAAAGGCTCGTCAGCGAAAGTGAACTGCAAAGTTAATTGATGCTACAAGTGCTAGAGATAAAGCTTTGTAGGGCATCTTGTTTTCTTCGGAAGCCATCGTTAAATTTATTTCATTGAGGTCCTTATATTTTTGTTCAGCCTGAAATAATATATTAATAAAATAAATAATAAAAAATCAAATACCCGACTGCAGAAAAGAAAATTTAAAAGTAATGCGTAAAAATTCCGTAACAAGGTTGAGAACAGAAAAAAAATTATAGTATACTATAAACAAAGTAAACGCTATTTGGGTTTGACAGATTATATTATGAGCTGAAAGTCTAAGTTAAATACAGATATTAAGTGGAGGTTATTATAGGTCTGTAGGCAATTATAACGCTTTCCCAGCGCACGCCATTTAGCGCGACGCACGACGTATTTACTTACGATGCTGCGTGTACCATCGGTACTCTATGCGGTGATATTATGTACTCCGTACAATAGCTACACGCCACAGTATAAATATTTGTAGGAGATCAACTGAACTAAATATTATAATTATGGAATTGTTACTTTTCTTCTTTGGTAGGTTTACATTTAATTATTTATTAGTTTACTTTTATTATAGCATAAAATGTACATACAATAACACTTTATGGAAGTTTTAATAATCAATTGATTTTATTAATTACACAAAGGTAGGTTATTTCGTTACCGTTTTAATTTATAGACATATAGACAGGAAAGTTAAAAGACAGACATACATCTTTGGAAGCATTTTAAATAGCTGGACATTAACGACCGTTATCATCGCTATGACTGAACAGGTAAATGCGTACATGGTATGGGGATGCTGCGTTGGCGAATTGGAGAATGAAAACTACTTTAGCTCTATCTCATGTAATAAAGCTTTCCATCATGCTTGCACTAACTGTGAAGCAGCGCTACGTAATTCAACAAATTGGACTTGCCCAACCTGCTCCGGCAAAAGTCCTAAGCCACCTAGAGACGACAACGCCCCAGTCCGTTTTAACTCTAATGTTACCGTGAGAGGAGCAAGAAGGCAAGCATTAAGCTCGCTCCCTACTACTAGCTGTAATTCATTGAATACTGATGACGTTCGAGACATTGTTCAAGATGTTATACAGAATGAGTTAAGCACACTTTTAACGAAACTTAATGTCACCATAACAGCTTTAGTCGGTGAGGAATTATGAACAGTTAAAGCTGAACTGAAGAGTGTGAAAGACTCAATCAACCTTGAAAAGAGTTGACATAAAAACTGTATGGTTAAGCATAAGGAGTTCAAGAAAATGATAGAGAATCTTCAGACACAAAGTACTTCAATGCAGGCGACAATCGCGGAATTAAGCTCGAGAATACAAGACCTTGAACAAAAACCAACAAAAAATGACAACCAAGCAACCAATGAAAACTTACAAACTAAAAAATGTAATTTATCAAATTCATTCATACCATCAACAACTAGCTCATGGTGCGGTATTCACACATTATTCAAAACCGAGTAAGAACCAAGATAGTTTGGAATATAGTAACGGCAAGGGAGAAGAGAACAAGGACTTAAATATAGCTTTGTCACAGTAAGAAAGCATTAGTCAGCCGCTTGAATGCTTAACATCGTAGCACAACGATTAGACATATTTAATTGTACATTGGCGGAATTCGAGAGGGTGACATTAAACTATTTGTCTGTTTCACATTAGTGGCCACATTGTTGGGTTAAGCTCCACTCCTGTAATAACAATTGTGAGTTAGTAAATAAATAAATAAATAAATAAACTTACTGATAAACACAGGGCTCCTCCATATATTGCCTTATAGGGGCTGTTACGGATCGCCGTACCGCCGTTCGAAAAATGAATGAAACGCGTTGGTCTTGCTTAAACTGGAGGCAAGCGGCGGTGAGGAGGTACTTTTTCTTTTCTTGCTGCTGTTTTCTTTTCTGTAGCTGGAGAGCGACTGCCGACCGTTCCAGCCAGCCCGTCTTATATACGATTTGGCCGTTGCTGGCCAGCGGACCCTTGCCTCACCCCCGCGCCTTTCTTTATTAGGTAGATTTCTTACAAACTAATGTACAGACTTAAATATATAACTTTCTTACAACTACTTATTAAACTAATACTTACATACAATACTTATTCTACAATTTGGCATTAATTAATTTCTATATTCTAAATCTATGTTAACTCTCGCCAGTTGTTTGGTGCCTTTATTGCGAGAGTTATTACATAGTTACAATACTATTTATTTAAAAATAAAAGCTATATTTCTCAATATTATTGCTACGGCTTTTCCCGCGTTGCTGTGTGCAACCACCGCTAGTTGTGGAACCGTGAGCGCGGCCTGACGATCATAACATTCTCTTGGCCCCGCCCACCGCCCCTAGATTGTTCAACTAGCGATGGTTACGACAAGCAATCCGTAAGTCATTTCGTTCGACGTATTACTATGTTTGCGTCGTGCACATTCTCCCGCCGTCGCCACGCTGCGATCCCTCTGGTAGCACGACGATCTTCTTTGTCGGTCTTCGTAGTACATGCCCCGTGCTTGTGATTACGTCCACTACTCGTACCTCTCCGTCGACGCCAGGATATACGTTGCTGATTTTTCCCCTGGGCCAGATGTTGCGTGGTAGGTTGGAGTCACATATGATGACTAGGTCTCCAATCTTCGGTGATACGCCTATGCCGCTGGGCTCCCGCCGGTGTTGGAGTAGGGGCAGGTATTCCTTTACCCACCTTCTCCAAAACACGTCGGCCAGGGCTTGAGCTCGTTTCCACTGCTGGCGGGCCGTCACGTCGCTCTCGCTGAAGTGTCCCGGCGCAGGTACGTGCGAGTTGGGACCGATGATGATGTGATTCGGCGTGATGGCTTCTGGGTCTCCTGGGTCGACTGAGACGTGTGTGAGAGGTCTTGAGTTGACCGTGTTTTCGACCTCGGCGAGCAGAGTCACCACTGTCTCGTCACTGGGATAGCGCTCGTTGAGGACGACGCGTAGAGCTTCTTTCACGGAGCGAACCATTCGCTCCCATGCGCCGCCCATGAACGGTGCTGATGGTGGTATGTACTTCCACACAATTTGTCGACATGTGGTTTCGTACTCGAGGGTTGCGAGTGCTGCTTCGGCCAGCTCCTTGTCGGCTGCTTTGAAGCACGTAGCGTTGTCACTCCATATTTCCTTTGGGTATCCTCTTCTGCTCATAAAACGCCTGAGCGCCGACACGGCCTAGTCGGCGCTTAAAGAGTGGGCTACCTCTATGTGTATTGCTCGGGATGTCATGCAGGTGAATAACGCGCCATAGCGCTTTTCACGATGTCGTCCCACTGTGACCTCTATTGGCCCCAAGTAGTCCAGTCTGGTGTATGTGAACGGACGTGCGTGATGAGCGAGGCGTGCGGACGGCAGGTTTCCTGTAAATGGTGATGCAGGCTTGGCTTTTCTTAGACGGCACGGTAGGCAGCTTTTGACGACAGTTTTCACCACTGGACGTATTTTCCTTATGTACAGTCTCTGTCTTAATTCGTTCACGTCTGTTTCCACGCCTCCGTGATGCAACCTCTCGTGTACGTGTGTTATGTACAGACGAGTGTATGCGTGCTTCCCGTCTAGTATGGGAGGGTCGTACGTGTCCTCTTCCACTTCTTATGCTGCTTTTATTCGACCTCTGAGGCGTAGGGTCCCCTCTTTATCGATGTATGTGCTCAGGTGGCCTAATTTGTCGTCACCTCCCGGTACACTTCCGTTGGCGATCCTCTTGAGCTCCTTCGTGAAGCCGAACAAATGTGGGTGCAAGCCAGTCAGCGGGAAGCTGACTGGCTTGCACCCACATTTGTTCGGCTCTTACGTGATAAGCGGCCGGTATTCCTACTAGTGATGAAACAGTAGGAGTTGCCTTTTTCTCCTTGGCGGGGATGTTGCGTTTGTTTGTTCTTTGCCAGCCAGGGTCGCTATTTTGTCTTGCTCTGTTGCGTTTACGCCCAGCCTTCACCACGTGCTTGTTTGGTCTGCACATGTCGATGAATAGGAGGACTCTCGCTGTCGCCCTTATGAGGCGAATCCATTTTGAAAATCTTTCTATTTGTGGCAGATGTGTTGTTGGCGAGTCTACCCTTTTAACTGCGATGTTACATACTTATCGTTCTTTCCCGGTGTCGTATTGTGTCGTTTTCTCTTCCTGCGGCCATTCTGCTGGTGGACGTTGCAGAAACGGGGGCCCTCGGAACCACCGGTGCGACTTGTCGAAGGTGACCGTCGACATCAATGAGCTATGACAGCCATGCAGAACCCAGCTCAGGTGGGTGTGTGAGGCGACTGGTTGGTCTCGACGACCGACGCGCAGTTTTCTTGACACTATGGGGTGCCAGTTATCTTGTCCGATTAGTATTTTCGGTGAGGCGCGTTCGTAGGTGATATCTTCTTTGATATCCAACAGATGTTGGCAATTCTCTAAGTGATTTTCATTCACGGATTCTGGCGCGAAGTCCAACCGCTCTACCGTACGCGCTGCTTCTATGTTGTGTTCCTCTTGCGCGTACTTTCCTCTTATTTTAAGGCTGACGATCTTGCTCTTCTCATATTTCACCTCCGAGCCGACCCCTTGTATCCACATTGCGTGGGCTGGGCCGTCGGCGCCGATGACGTCGGCGATCGAGGCATCGACTAAGGTGACCGTGCTTCCTTCATCCAATAATGCGTATGTTTCGACGCAGCTTAGCGGCCCCCTTATTGTTACGGGCGCAATCTTTAGATAAGCGCGGCGGTGTTTGTACGGTTGAGTCGCTGTGATGACCTCCCTTGCCGATGTTGCGGTTTCCATAGCGGGTTCCTTTTCAATTTCTGCTGTTCTGTCGTGATGCAGCAATTTATGGTGTTTCATCATGCATCCGCCTTTTCCGCACGGTGGAGCTTTACACAGCAATCGGCGATGTTTGCCTCGCAGACAGCGGTAGCAGATATTATTTTTCTTTGCTACTTCCCATCTGTCATTTGTGGACAGAGCGGGGTATGACTTGCAATCGGGCAGTTTGTGTTCTTGTTTGCATTGAGGGCAGCGTTCTTCATATTGTTTCTTGCTTGTGGCGAAGGCACGTTCTATTTTTCTCGGTCTTCGCTCTCTCGTCTCGCTGTCCTCTGCTATGAACTTCGGCAAGGCATACGCGCTGCATTTGTCCGCTTCTTCGTTTAAGAACATTGATATCTTCTTAAGCTCTGGGATATCTTCTTTCTTTCTGGCTGCTATCGTACCATTTGCTTCTCAATATGGGCGTGAGTTTGTCTGTGATAACTCGCGTCATTTCCGGACTATGCAGATAGTGTGCTTTCTTGAATGCTTCCACGGTGCCCACTACGTTTGCTATGCGATTTGCGAATATGCATAGCTCCCTGGGATTGTCCGTGACTTTGTTCAGCAGCTTCAGCTTCTCTATTTCTAAGTGAATTAACGCTTCTGGTCGTCCGAATCTCCTTTTCAAAGCTTCCATTATCGTTCTGGGATCTGTTTGGCTTATAAGTAGGCAACCTGCGGCTTCTTTTGCTGTCCCTTTTAAGCTTCGGCGTATTCTCGCTATGTTTTCGTTCATCGTTAAGTACTTTGAAGATTCTTCGTACGTTGTTTAGAAGCTGAGCCATTCTTTGCTGCTACCATTGAATGTAGGTAGCTCTTGCCCATATTTCGGCGGCTCCCTTGTGCTTCGTACTGCTTGTGATAGAGCAGCGGCTAAGGTAGCGACGTCGATTTGTTGCTGCGCCTGTCCATAGTCTTCTTTCTGCGGCGCGGGTTGTGATGCAAACTGCGGAGCGGGTTGCGGTGTGAAGTGCGGCGTGGGTTGCGACGCGGGCTGCGGCGCGGGTTGCGATGTAGACTGCGGAGCGGGTTGCAATGCGAAGTGCGACGTAGATTGCGGCGCGGGCTGCGGCGCTGGTTGCGATGTAGGTTTTTCTTGCAACCATGTACTAATGCGCACTGATGCTAAATCGTCTTCTATTTCTTCATCTTCGTCATCAGTTGATCCGACCTCTGCTTGTAATCGCTGCACGTGTATTTCTTGCAATTCCGTTCTTGCTTCCAACTGAGCCTGCTCGAGCTTGAGTTCGGCTAACCGCTCTTTCGCCTCTAACTCCGCGAGGAGTCTCTTGCGTGAGGCTACGGAGCGGCGCGACCTAGCTTCGTCGGGCTTTAATGTGCGCTGCGATCTT